TTCACTTCTATAATCCCAAGGATATTACCCCTACTCAACTGTTTTGACTGTTTCTTAATTTCTCTCTTAAAAAGGCAATAATTTCACAATGAATTTAATTTTTGTATTCTTTTTCTATATACATTTACACTATTTTGTTAATTAAATAGCTGAACAATACTTCTCCCGCCATATATTTAAGAACAAACTGTAACCAATAAGTAAAGCCATCGGAAGTGATCTTCCTTCAAAATGTGAATTTCCGGTGGTGTGAAATAACACAGTTGCAAGATATTTTAGCAGCTTAATCATATGCAGCACAATTACTACTCTATTTCTTACCTTATCGTCTGTAAAAGCAGCTGCTTCAGGAAAGCTACTGCATACTTTACACAGCAAATTAATTGCTTCTATTCTTTTAAACTTTAAGGTGTAGTGTCTCTGGTTTTTTTAGCTCATAACATCGAGAATGACATTTTCAACTAAAACTATTAGCAACATTAAGAATTCCAACTATTTGCGAAAGTAAAATATTTGAAAATATGATAGATATCATATTCTACTTTATCACTACTTATGTAATGGATTTCATTAATCACAAATTTTACTGATTGTTTAGGCCAATCGAGTTCTGTATTGTAAACTAAAAAAAAAAAAAGAATCCTTGAAAAATTAAGTTGATAATAATTTACAAAATTGAATATTAATTCATCTTAAATCTGGCATTAATTTCAATAGCCGCTAAAAGAAATTCTGAAATTTACCAACGACTAAACATTAAGTTGGCGTTCGTCTCTGGGATCTGTTAAAAGACCTTCTTTTAATGAATGCGTAGACAGGGTAAGAAAAAAAAGTACTCTACTTATCCAATCTATTCTTGAGAGCATAATTATATTTAAAGAGCAAATAAGCGAAATACTTCCTGCATTTAACCATCGCACAATGGTAGCAAGCAATTTTCAGCAATAATGAGCTGCGACAAAGAAATAATAAGCTGCGACAAAAACTTTCAGCAATGGTACTGTCCTTGAAATTTACCTCACTTATTTAAATTAGATTGCGAGGATAAACTTCGGGAGTTGCGAGATTACAGTTCAGGTACTAATTTTTATTCTCATTGAATGTGTGAAAGCATAGATCAGTATGTACTACACCTTTCTGCCAAGAATTAATTGCTTTATAATTCGATTCATTTTACTTTACGCTAAATACAACGTTCATTTATACACATCTAATTTGAATATCTTTTTCTTTCCATTCATTTGGAATTTCTTTCTTTGAATTTGATCTTGAATTGTTTTCAAGCCGGTCTTTACAAATCCCTGAACTTCATTTACGAGATCACTTATTTTTCTCTTAAAGCCAGCAAAAATAATACTTTTGTTAATTTATTTATGTATTATTTAAGTCCCATAAAAACACAGAGCAGCTCACATTTTAAAGGAGCTTCAATTTAAATAATACGATTGTGGACAGGTTTACAAAATTCAGCAAATATGGAACATATAAGCTTTGACAGAACAGCATGGCAATGCCTGCTGTACTTTGATTGTTCTATGAGTATTTTATTTTACTCAAATAAATACTAATTTCTTTGCATACGAATATAAATATGATTATATAATTTGCTAAGGCTTAGATGGAGATTAACTTTATTCTTTTATTTAATTTAGGGTTAAAAAGGGTTGTGTATAAAGGTGACTAAAAAATATAAACTAGATTACTTAATTTTGTCAGAAAAGAGTGTTTTTTTTTTTTTTTTTTTTTTTTTTTAATTTTACAATTTGCTGTATAATCTTAGTTCAAATATAGTATAGGAAAAATAAAATCGCTCTTTTTCTTAAAAGTAAATACTTAAGATACTTTGCAAAGAAAAAGTAAAGACTGAACTTTTTCGTATATCCGCTTATGCTGTGATTTTGGGTTAGTCGAATAGTTAAAATTCTGCTGCACTTTACATGGTATTTTCTTTCTCCTTTCTGTATGCCTCCGTAGTGTAACTGGAACCACACTCGACGCTTATTCGGGGGCTCTGGAGTTCGAATCCCGGCGAGGACATTGTGAGTTTCTTCAATTTCTTAACTTCGCAAAAAATTCTAAGTGCCATCCGAACTAAAAGGGGGTGAACGATAATTCATCTCCTCCAAAATTTGACGAATGGATCTCCTAATGCCCAGTAGCCCTTGAAAAGGAGGAGTACATGAAGTATTTTTTCATCCTGTTTGCATGCCTTCGTGGTGTAACTGCAAGCGCACTCGATTGGATATCACTCGTACTTTCACAGATAATAATTTACTAAAATCATTATTTACTTTACCCTGCAAACATCACTCAAATAAGGATTCCGTGGCTACCACATTTTTTAAAATTCTTTTAATTTTACCTGTAATTATCGAATAGTAGAAATCTATTCCTATGAGAATAACAGTTTTGCCATTTTATTTTCAGCAGTTAGCTTATAAGGTATTTCACCCGCCTTCTTAACATGCCTTCGTAGTGTGGTGGTCAGCACACTCGGCGCGCATCTGAGAGCTCTGTGGTTCGACTCCCGGAGAGGGCATTGCTCATTTTTCATCTCTCCTGCTTCGAAATAACCGAATTTCCCTACAAGCTAATTGTAAATTTTTCAAAACTTTTGTTTCCTTTAGTAAAATTTAAATATGGCGGCAAGATAATAGTATCAGATATAATTTCTATTTCTAGTATTTTAACATCTAGTCTAAGATTGGATCTCTGATATTTTCTAGTTTTGAAGACATCAAATGTCTATTCTAATGCAGTTTTATCTTCAAATGAGCTAACAGAAAGTGATTTCTTTTTAGCAATCGGAAAATTCATTTCACTAGATACATTCTTCAGTTATGAAAGTTCTCACTGAACCATTAACAAAAAGAATCTCATATTTTCAATTATTCGGAACTGAAGCAGAAGCACTTTATTATTAAATTTTATAATAAACTTTTTTCCTCAAATTATATGACAAAATTGCGAAAATAACATTCGAATCCGACATTTTCTTTCAATTTTGTCAATATTTTTTAACTCATAAAATGAATAACAAATCGTTTGGAATGTTTATTATTACAAAAACTGCATTTTACTCTTTTCTTGTCATCTTTAATTCTATGCTTTCTATCCACACACACACACAAAATCTGCTTACATTTTTAAAAATTTCTCAATCCGCCGATTTATGACTTCCATCGCCGCAAAAGGGACACTGAGAATCGGCTGACCCAGCTCCATTAGCTGTCGACGTCTTACTTATTTTGATGGGAGAAAATTTTCGGTATTAAAGGCAGTGGCTTTTCTAATCGCGAGAACTTATCTTTTGAATTATAACTGACTGAAGCCGTCGTTCGATATTGAGAATTTCTTTTTTCAAAAAAGCTAATAAGCTTTTGTAAGTCCCAATTTTCATCTTCATTTTTTCAGCTATAATCAAAAACGAATTCATTCGGAAGCAGTTTCAAAATTAAAGGCATTAAAATATTTCCGTAACAGGAAGTATTTTCCTTAGTCTGTTTATATCATTAGGTTGTCTGACAAGTAAACTACTTAAGAGTTGACCTAAATGCGTAATTAATTAAGATGATCGTTTGTCTATATCTGGAATGCAACTGTTCACGAGCAGCTGCTTAATTATAACGAACCAGAATGAAACCAGAAATAGCTTTGGCGGCCGAGGCACCAAGAAAGATTTTTAAGTAAATTAATTTTTCTATTTTTGTTAAGTTTGGATTTTTATCAATCGTACTTCCGAACTGACTTTCGAATTCTAACCAGTTCAAAGGATCACCATAAAATTTATTCATAGTCATTTTAGGTAATTTTATAGATGAAGTTTCTGTACTTCGATTTTGAATGTAATTAGAACTGGACACATGTGCTTCTTCATTAGAATTATTATCGCTAGTGCTTTTTGATAATTCTTATGCTTTTTGATAATTTGTATGATTTTAACCTCTTGTATTCTAATAGATTATCTTTATTCACTTCTAGGAAATTAATTTTCGCATCAATATTCTAAATTTGTTACTTTCAGTATAGAATTATTAGTTAATTTGATATTTTCAGTTTTAGTGTCCAACCGATTTAATATTGCTTTTAAATTACTCACAGGTTTATTTTCTTCTTCATTCTTATTTGTTTTACTGATAAGCTTTCTAATAAAGCCCTTTTCACTAGTTCTTAATTTTTTCAGCTTTTCCAGTTTCATTGTTAAAGAAAATAAATGTTCTTACCTTTATAAATGTACATTCGGCTATTTAATGGAGTTCAAGTCTTGACACTTACGACTCCTTCGCAATAATCATCGATAAGTCATTAAATTATTTTTCTTAATCCTATTTCCCGGCCCATAGCATGCACCTTGAAACAAAGGGCAGTTCAAAATCGAAAACAACTTTGCTCTATTCCAAAGGGCAAATTTGTTATTCTAAATTCTACATGTAAGCAGTGTTCCTACATGAACACTTAATTCAAAACTTCGTTGATAAAATACTTATTAATTCATTGTATACAGTTAATAAGAAAATGCATCCACATATATAGTATCTATAAATCAAAGATTATGGCTTAATGCGTCATTCCCGTCTAGTATCGAAGATCTATCTGACGCTCCTTTCTTTCAGATTGGGCAGCTACGATCGATGTATGACATCGCACTTCTTTACATTGCGAAAGGGAAAAAGCAGCGCGGTAACATCGTTATTTCAACAGAGGTAGAAACAAAGTGCGTAGTTATCCAGTATGGTAGTTAAGAGAAAGGTTTCGGTCCTCGAAGTTTTAAGTTTCGAATTAGCTACGTCATCATAGTTTATGATATAAATTAATCTAGAAATTATGCAATTCCAGTAAAGGTTATTAAGCAGCTGTTATTTTTAGAACAGAGAGGTGAAAATACCCAAATTAAAATGAAGAATTAAGGGTCAATACTAATTTAAGTTATAATTTTGATTTATGTATTTTTATCTAACTTATATATCTTGTTTATTTATCTTGTTCCCTCTTCTCTGCAGGTCGGCTGCGCCATTGCTATGTGTGCCGATCACGTGGCGAACTGGGTGACTGCAAAGATCCTTTCATGCTCAATGCCACTAGTGTAGAAGACGTGAGAGGAGTTGAGGCAGTACCTTGTGCTTCAGGGTGGTGTGCTAAAATTATAGAAGGACAAAATGACGGTAAACTGTTGCCTGCTTTTATTTATCTTTTCTATTATATATATATTAATTCATGAATATAACTTCCTTCCAGTTTGTGATGCTTTCACTTATTCCAACTATTTAACTACATAGATTAATAAAAGTCTAAGGAAAAACAACGAAGGATTTCCACCTTCGACATGCTGTGTTTTAGGGGGAGCGGAAAAGCTAATTAAGCCTAGTTCTGCTTTTGCAGAGTAGTTTAGACTCCTTAAAAATCGTACTCAGCAAATTGTACACTAAGAGAAAGTGTTGTGAAATATAGAAGCTTGGTATCGGATGTAAAAATCCTGACTTAAAAAAAAATATTGCTTTCGTACTAATTTCATTAAATTCTCAATTAAGTCTCAATTTTTATTTCTAACAATTCAAACGTCGATCGATTAACACATGAAATAAAAAATTCGATTAAATAAAAATACGCAATACACTGAATAAATAAATAATAACACGCAACACTGCAAAAATGAATAAACCTAAATTGCAAAATGATTAGCACAAATATTTACAAAAATTTCAATAGTATGTAATTAATACTAGTGTAGGTTTTTTTAGGGAACTTGAGTGGTCAAAATATGAATTTTTAAAGATCAAAACTTCATCAAAAATTTAAGCCAAGGGATATCTTAATCATAAATGCAAATTCTAAGGATGTTTTCATTGACTACGAGTATATTTTAAGAATTAGATGACAAAGATTAAAAAGGCTGTTCGAATTCAGAGTCAAATCAGAATAAACCGTGTTAAAAGGCAAGTGATTTCCTCCCTAAACTGTATTAAATCAAAACGGCTTAAAGTGAGAATTGCCCCACTATGTAAAAGAATATTATTATTATTTGTTGATATTATTCATTACTAATTATTTATTGTTGAATGCAAGTTTTATCTATTATTATATTATAGTTTAAGTCAGATAGACAGATTTTAGTAATATTTCGCTCTTTATTTCCATATAACAGACATACAATTTATTAAACTCCTTTAGTAAAACCGAGTCAAAACCTAGTGCATAAGTTCCTTCCTTTACTTGGATTATATACTTGGTATATTTCTTTTGAAATGTGATTTATTTATTAGTTATTTAGGGCTATGTGATGTGAATTAGTGTCCAAAATTATTTTTATGTGCATAAAATTAATCATTGTGCATGAATCATTCAATCTTGATTATGCTTTCATGGAATGAGCAAATGGCAAACCTAATTATCAATATCGAATCTAATTTTATAATTCTGTTTCTGAAATGTAAAGAAAAACTTAAGATCATATAACAATATGACAAATGCTTTGCAGGTAATAAGATTTTCGGCGAGCATCTATGTTTTCTGCCTTAATTCCAGTGTTTATGAAATTAAAACAGATTAATTTAATTAAGAAATTAAAACAGTTAAGGGAGCAGAATTATCATTTAAAAGAATTTTCGAGATATTGAGCTATTAGACTTGGAAGTAGGCAGAAAATTATAAAATTACAAGATAGCTGAAACTTACAATTATATCTGTGTTTTTGGATACAATTTAATGAAAAGTTTAATGAGAAGGTTCTTTATGAAAGTTTAATGAGAAAGTCCTTTCTCTGGCAGTAAGCCAGCTTGAGTTTTAATGATCTCGCAACAAAAGACGGCTCTGAACTGATCTAGAGAACATCAGAAATAGAGTCTACAATAATGACCCTATATTCTCATCAGGGATGAGTCGAGATCCGCACAATCTTATAAGCTTTTATATGGGAAAGGAACCTCAAAACAAAATGTTTTCACCAATATGGAAATATGAAAATTATGGCGATGTAAACATAATGGCATGGGAAAGAATAGTGATCAAAGAGTTCCCCTGTATAATTTCTATACATAATCTGTGGCCTGCCCACAGATATCAGGATGAAAGATCTTGGTAAGAATTTTTACAGATGCACATACCTCTAATTTTCATTTTGTGAACAATATCGTATATCCACATCGAGCAACCTGGTTTCTACATTTTTGCAATCAAAGACTCTCTGAGAGGGTAAATTTAGCAATTAAATCTCCTTATTGGATCTTCTGAAAGAACCATTGCACAACGAAATTCTCCTGTTTTTCAATGCCTTGAGAGACTATACTGTTTGTAGATGTAGAACTTACCTCTTCCCAAACTGTAACTATCCATCGTAATAATGGTATAAAAGCGGGTTTTGATATAAGTATGGCAATTAGAGAAGATCGCATTCTCTTTTAACAGCCAAAAGTCCGAATTTGTCCACAAGGTAGTCTTTCCTATACAATTTCATTTTCATATCTTATTTCAATTTTATATACAGGCAGCCCTCCTACAACACGTCATCCTGTAACAAAGTTTCACTATAATACGATTCATAAATTGCGAGAACCTTCCTACAGCACAATTTTCTTATAACACGGTTTCGCTCTAACACGATAAGAAAATTGCCCAAGCAATCCAAAGAAATTTAACGAAATCTGCACGAAGTTATTCCAATATTGTACAAAGTACCCATATAGTCATTTAACACATAAGAATCCTTGTTTCGTAAGTTCTGCCAGTTGCCTTCCAAGACCCGGTAGCCGTAAAAACAAATATTCTCAGATAATCTGTATAAACAAATGTCCCCAGATAGCAATGAAGAAACCTCACTATCGCAGAAGGTGAACAACATGGGGTCACAAAAAGTGACCTAAAATGCACAACCTGCACGTTCGGCTTCCAAAATTCGAATTCTCGTCTCCATGGCCTGAAAACGAAAGTGTCTCAAGCTGCTGATCGGCTGTCTGCGTCGAGCCACGTGTGTTAAAGAATAACTTTTTCGTCTTTAAGACAAGTTTCAGTCCCCAAACATGTCCGATAAAGATTAAAAAAACACTGTTTAAGAGGAAATTCATTTCTTTAGAAGTACAGACACAAATCTTGGACTGTCTTTTAAAAGGAGAAAAGGCATCTTACATTGGAAAAACTTTTTATTGAAATGAAGAAACAGTTCGGACTATTAAGAAAAATGAAAAAGAAATAAGTGCAGTTGTTGCAGGATCTTCGACATCCGCAAAACGTGCAGTTCGCCCCAGGGGGCGCCAATAATTGAGAAGATGGAAAAGGCACTCAGCATTTGGATTGACGATAGCTATCAAAAAATAATTTCGCTGAATGGTAATATTATTAAACAAAAAAGTAGTCAAAATTTTCAAGTACCTCAAAGAATATGGGAAACCCTCTGTCAACCCAAATTTTCTGGTAAGTAAAGGTTAGTTCGAAAATTTCAAAAAGCGTTTTGTAATTCATAGTATAAGAATTCAAGGAGAATCTGCATCGGCTGATTATGAAGCTGTTAGGACGTTTCCTGAAAAATTTCAAAATATTATAGAACAAGAATACACAGCAGTTCAAGTTTCCGATGCCCACAAAACTGGGCTTTGATGGAACAAAAATGCCCAGTAGAACCTTTATATCTAAAAAGAAAAAAACTACATCCTGATTTAAGGTGCCTAAAAATTGTTTAACGCTATTTTTGTGCAGTATGACTTGGGACTTTATAACAAAACCCTTGTCAGTTTATAAATCCTTAAATCCTCATGCACTTAAAGGCGTAAATAAAAACATCTTACCGGTATATTGGAAACTAAATCCAAGAGCTTGGGTCGCTGGTAATATATTTAAAGATTGATTTTTAAATTGTTTGTGCCAGACGCTGAGCGTAATTTAAGGCAGAAAAATTTGAGCTTCAAGGCGCTTATTACTATTAGATAATGCTCCATGTTCTCCACAAGATTTGAATCATCTCAATGTCAAAATACTATTCCTACCACCTAACACTACTTCATTACTACAACTATTGGATAAAGGTATTATTTATACCTTTAGAACATATTACATAAGAAGAGCATTACAGTAGATTTTAGAAGTAATCGATTCAAAATCCATTAATGTCAATTATACCTTTAGAACATATTACATAAGAAGAGCATTACAGTAGATTTTAGAAGTAATCGATTCAAAATCCATTAATGTCATTTATACCTTTAGAATATTACATAAGAAGAGCATTACAGTAGATTTTAGAAGTAATCGATTCAAAATCCATTAATGTAATGGAAGCTTGGAAGACATTTTCAATCAGGAACTGAATCGACATCGTATTTTTTTCGCTGAAAGAACTGAAAGCATCAACGTTAAATGCATGTTAGAAGATGTGGCCCTCTTTAGTTGAAATAGAAAACGTGCGTGAATCTTTAGTTAAAGGAAATTGGTGGCATATTAGAACTTGCTCAATCAATCGGAGGCGAAGGTTTTGTGAACATGGCTATTGAGGACGTTCAGGATTTATTAGCGGAAGAAGAAATTGACGAATATTTGGTAGAAATGGCATCCGAAGCTGTAAATGAAATCGATTCTGAGGACACTACCATTGATGAAGATTGTAAAGTTAATAACGTAACCTTAAAAAAATTAAAAATTTTAAGTTAATTTTCTTGAGTGCAGACCATTCCGCTGAAATAAGCTTCAAAAGGGAGTTTCAAAACTGTTTAGATCGAGAAATTTAAAATGACCCGGTAAGAACTAGTAAGCAAAGTAAAATTTCAAATTTTTAAAGGGGAAAGAAAATGCCAGAACTTTAAATGAAGAAAGAAATTCTGAAAGTGAAAGCGATCTCATTCCACCGAAAAAACGTTCTCTGTTGAGCAATGACAACGAAGAAATTTATTAAACTTAAGTTGCGTTAAATTAAAATATGTAATATTTTTTGTTTTGTGTTGTACATACGTATATATATTTTATGAAAATTAAGTTGTTTATGTATAATTAAAAAAATATTTGTTTTTAATACGTTTTCGGAACTCAAGACCCCTTTTATACTGCCTCTGGGTCTCATACAACACGGTATTTTCTAGGAACCTGTTTACCGTGGTATACGAGGGTTACCTGTATTTCAAAACATCTACAAATAAACTCATTGAATTTTATTCAGTAGTTTTTGAGAAATCGGAATTTATATGTATGTACAGATAATTTTGGACACCAAATGAAGGTAGTTTAAATTGTTTTTGGCTTTTCAAATTTTTTCTTTACCTAAACAGATTTCGACACAGCTACGGAAAGGATGTGTGTCCAGCGACCTCCTGCGGATGGCGAAGAACGTTGTTCAAACACGATTATTGACAAGGAACCCGTCTTTATGTGCTTCTGCTATGGAGATCTCTGCAACGCCGCCCGTCGGCCCATTGTGCCGCTTATTACCATAATCTTTATGTTGCTTCTAAATCATATGAGAGGCATCTGATATTGAGAAATTCCGAAAGAAGACAGACTGTCATCCTTCGAAGACTCAATTCTAAATGCCAGTACTTTCAAGCAATATTAATTGCTACTTTTAAGAACTAAATGTCTGGAAAATAGAAATTGTCCAATTTCTAGAGAAATTTAGTGAGTTGTAAGTGCAATTAGTACATACTGGAATCTTTTAAATATATTGGAAAGGTCCAGTTCAGTTCTGTAGGACTTACCTCAGAATGTTCAAAATAACTAGTCGCAACCCTTTTATGAGTAAAAATGCATAAATCATATTTCTAACAAATAAACAGGAAAAAAACAATTTGTTATTTCTGTAATGAATGCTGTTCAGTATCATCATCTTGCACTATAATAAGCGATGGTAAGCTGCATCTGCGTCAGCAGTATCTCATAAATTATTTCCATCTCAAGCATAATAAATTTTATCGAAGATTTGAAGTTGCCACTTGCCGTAAATTGTGCATTGGCATTTTAGTAAGCGACTTCGACATGTAAATGAGCCTTTCTTTTTCAATTCGATTATACAATATTTTACCTTTATTTTCTGACAGTGCAGAACCATGTTAATTCTAGCTACTTCTTTTTGTTTCCAAGATGCTCAGTTTTTGAAAACTTCTTTCACGCTTCAGTTTGGAAAATGCCTTATTTTTTTTTATTTAATGTTTTTAAAGAATGGTATATTTTCTAGAGTATTCTGAAATCGTAAACAGTTCTTTGCTTATGATATTTCAAGCATGACCTTCTTCAAACAAACGCGATCTTTCATATAAATACATATGAGTGTTTTTTATATTAAACATTTTGTTTCGAATATTTTCTACAAATAAAAATATCTACGTCCATCACCGTAATTCTTCCTACAGAACTTGTAAAGCAGTTCTCCCTCCTTCGGTTCCCATCCTGCTGATTAAAGCCTTTACAAGTGGCGCCCAAACTAAAATATGATAGGTGGTAATTCTCACCTCCAGGATTTGGCGACTGGGTCCTCTCCTACCCAGTCGCTCTGTATAAGAGGAGTAGTATGTAAGGCATATTCTTTCCCCTTACTGCGTGTCTTTGTGATGAAATTGAAAACACGTCCGGCTAGTATCGGAGGGTTCGGATTTCGAGTCCCAACGAGAACATTGCTCGTTTTTCACATTTCCGACTACAGCACTTTACTTAAAAATTTTTAATGTACCAATTCAAATTGACTAAAATTATGATACTCCTAAAACACTCAAAAGCCAGTTACCTCTATAAGACATTTTGATTGCAACCTGGAGTAATCACCATCAGATTTCTAGATCCCGAGCAGAAATATGAGCATGAAAATCCTTCCGTGGTTCCTATTATGGTTTCCATCGAATCCATCGATATCGATGATGTTTCCTTCCAAAAATTAAAATCAATTCTTTGTTACAGAAATAATTAAAATTACTTCAAACAGACATTTATCATTAGACATTTTAACCTATGAAAAGAAAGAAAGTTTTCTTCTGTGATAGTTTTAATTATTGTAATTTAAATTGTAACAATTGAAAAGACAAAGGTTACTGAATATAAACAACTAGAACTTTTTTATCTATCAGTAACTTGTAGAGACATTAGGTATTTTGGGGGGGTGGGGAAAGCAGGCAAGATGAAAAATTAGCAATGCCTTCGCCAGGAATCGAACGCGGACCTCTCAATTACGCGCTGAGTGTGCTGACCACTACACCATGAAGGCTCGCTAAGAAAGCGGGAGAAATACCTTATAACCTTAACAAGGTACGTGTCAGTATACTCATGTCTTTTGAAAAATAACATACAATAACTGTTTAAAGAAATAAGTTGTTTTTTTTAAACAGACCTACATTCCTATTCATCGAGTTTAATATAAATAATACGCTATAGGCTGTGTGAGAGAGGTGCAGAGGATTACAAGAAAACCTCTTTTTATTTTGCAGTACAGGGGGAAAAGAGAAAGAGGTAAAAAGAAAGAAAAAGCAAAAAAAAGAAAAGAAAGAGAGAGTAGAAAGAAATAAAGAAAATATTTTTTTCGTAATGTTTATCTATCACTAAGAGCAAAATAAATAAAAAATTAGAAGTCAAAAATATAAAATTTAAAGTTTTAATTTTCAGTTATGAGATGTGAAATTCATACCGACTGTTATTTATTAATATAAAACATAGTTCGAAATATTTTCATAACATCCTTTGTTAACCAATCATTTTACAATCAACAAACTTTTGATGTAATTGCAAATAATTGTCGAGCTTCTTCTGAGTTTATTAGATACATGTATTGAAAAAACTATGTGCAAACAGTTTTAGAAGTGTAACAAATTATGATAAGCTATAAGAAGTTATACAGATGCACCCTTAAAATAATAACTGATAACATTGCTAAGTACATTTAATTGTCTTTGCTTTGATATGAATATTTTTGATATAGAAATTGATCAAATTCGAAACGAAAATTTCTGTATTTGCATAAAATTACTTAGTTTGCTTCCCCATACATTGTTTTAAATCTTATTTTTTTTTTCTTTTGAGAGAAATTATGAGAAATTCATTTCATTTCATCTGTTCCATTATTTCTCTCTCTCTCTTTTCTTTATATGTTGACGTTTAGAATTTAAATCTTATAAAGTTTTAATAAGCAAAATCCAAAGTACGAATCTTAATATAACGGGTTACATTTGTTAATCTACTGCAACAAAACATTCGAGGTCTATTTGCAACTGTAATGGGTTATGATATGCAAGTCCAGCAAAAAACCTCCGAAAATATCAATAAATGTCTGAAAAAACTTCTACAAAGATTTAATAAGTTGTACAAATTATTATACATTGTACTCTCTAAGATGTACGAGGAAACATATGTAAAGTTAGTATTTAAAATAATATTATTTGCTGTACATTATTTTAATAATTTTGTAATAAAGTATATTTTTATATCTGTTCGTACTTTATTACATAAAAATTAATCATGCATCAAAGTTTTATTTTATAGATAAAAGGCATTATGTTCTTTCAAAGCTTTTACCGAAATTTTAGGGGTTTTCGTAAAAACATTTTTTAAATCGGATTTTTTTTTCTGCCTACTAACAAAATGTTAAATATCCGACTAAGTAGTTTAAAATCTCCTTTGTTCCTCCCAAAAAAAAAAGTTATGTGAAAGAAGAATTTTTCGTCACAGATAAGACTAGTTTCATCTGCACAAGCAACTCATTGGAACATTTAGGTGAATGCCGATACGGAAGGAATTCTCTCCTTCTCAAGTGATGGAAAACAATGATAGGAAACTGGAAACTGCTTCTGGTAAACTGCTAATAAAAGCATAATACAACAGGTTGCTTAAAATCTATCAGCTTACTAATTAGTTCCTTTGGCAATTTGATCGCAAGCGTAAAGGAGAATATGGAACTGATAGTGAAAGCCCTTTGAAACAAGTTCACTATTTTGCATATAATCACAATCACTACGGACTTGCAAAGCATAGTTAAGGAAGAGAAATAAAAATAAAAAAATCAGGAAAAGGGACTAGAAAAATCTCTCTCTTGTCCCTTTCCTTCACAAAGGTAATGAATTCTGCTGCTAATACAAAAGATGAACCAATTTTTCTTTTAATAGTTGAAGTCGTTATGAGGGAAAAGGAACCTAACTTTGAAGCTGACCTTTGGTATTCTGAGAAACTTTATTTAATTTATTTACTCCCCTAAAGTGTTAATAGGGAAATTACTTACACTTATACATTAGCCACTTTTTCCTCATTTTTTTACTGATAAACCGAATTTAAATGGCAGTTTTACTGAACTGTTGGTAACTGAAAAAATAAAACCATTTAGTGCTGGAATAGGAATTCACTTGAAAAGCTCCAAAACATGCTTTAATTAAATACGTACGGCAAGTTATTCTTTGAAAAATGCATTTTGGTATGCTTTGAAGATATGGTAATGTGAAGAGCTGCAGGACTACCCCAAACACACTGGCATAACATCATTATACGCCTTAAGTTTATTAGATATGATGCTGATATCACCTGAGACATGACTCCATCTTAAAAGAACTACTTTCAGTAGACACTCAGCCTCTAGCCTTCAGGCAATCCAACGCACATGCAATAAAAATCCACTCGTCAGGCCCATACAAAAACTCTTACTAAGAATACCAAAATACTATAGGTCTGAACTCTAGTGGGTACCTGCCCACACCGGAATACTGGGTAATGAAATTGCAGATGCAATAGCCAAAAGAGCAGCAACTGACCCCCACGTTCGCACACTTGATGTGCCTCTCCCGGGCTCGTTCTTAGAAGCTGAGCTCCAGAGAAAATTACTCAAACGTTGGCAACATCTGTAGGAGTCAGAGACAACCGGCAGAAGAGTTCACAGATATTTTTTCCAAACGTCTGCCGGCTTCTAAAAAGTGGTTCGCTTCACTTCACTCAGTTTCTAACAGGACATGGTCCCTTCATGACTTACCTGCATCGCTTCAGACGACGCGAAAACGACCATTGCTCATGCGGCATGGCAGGAGATCCGGACCTATCTATTCGCTTGCAGAGAGATTGCCGAACATCATCTTAGGCAACCAGTAGTAGACCACATCCATCCATGGGCGGAAGCTATTTCGAAAAATCGCAATGCATTGAAACGCATATGCGATTGCGTAAATATTGCACGCAAAATCTCAGACAGGCTGGAGTAATTTTCAGCTGCCATCCTCGTCACCAGCGCAGTCCCCGTATACTCTGTACCTGTAATGAATTTTATTTTATCTTAAGTTAGCTTTTTCTGCTTTTATTTTTCTCTGTTTACACCTATATCCTTGTGCTGTAAACCCTGAATTGTGAACCTTTGAATTACGTATTTTGCCTTATTTTATGTATTATTTTCACTGTTTTGCTTTTTTTTTATTTATGTATTATTTCGCTTTTTAGTATTTTACTTTTTATTATTTTTAGTATTGCTATTTAGTATTTAGCCCTATTTTAGATATTATTTTTACTGTTTTATCAGACAGTCTGTTGATTACACATTGTCTCATTTATTGTTCACGTTGTGGATGCCTTTGTAACTACCTATCAATAACTCTGTAAATATGTAACTGAAATTGTTCTTCTCACCCGCAATGCACCCTTCTTCCATTACTACACTTATCGTCTCGTCGAGCATTTCTTTGCACTGCCCCCAGCACTCGTCTTAAGCACAATATGTACCAACGTGTGTTATGTTGACCAAGTTATTTCCGTCAGCGGGGCTATCTGGCCGATATGCTAACTGCCCCAGTGGACCGGCTGCCTCGCTGTCGGTGGAAAGAAAGTAGACACAAAAGGATCAGCCACTTCACTCACTCACTTTGTGACCATTCTTGCTGAGACAGAAATTTTATCGATGCCGTTCACTTGTAATCAAACCTAGGTCCAACTCCTATTATTCAGCCGTCTTAGCTGTCCCCGCCTGGTATAGCCTCCCAATAGTAAAAATTATTCAGATTTCTAAACTTTTTTTGGGTACACTGCAAGTTACGACGAAGCATCTGGGAATTCCCTTTCTCATGTACTATCTAATTCATTTTCAGAATGGATGAGGCCTCAGTCGTAAATTCCATTGGACATGAATACTCTTTTAAATCCCAGAAATCAGATATATCAGTTAAATATCTTCTTACATAAAGTCTGCTAATTTCAGATGCCTAACTGTATAATCTTGAAGCAATATCCAGATCACATTTTTGTCTTCAAATCAAGACAGTGTTTAGAATTAGAAGTTTAACTCAACGTCTTTTTAATTCTAGACTTTGGCAATCAACTTAATTGCAAGCTAAGTTACTTTGCAAAAAAGAGATATTTACAAAATAATAACAGCAGTTTTCATTTAATAAGAAGTAAATAAATATAATATAACATAAAGAAAGGGTAAAGAATTTGGTTATAATTAACTGCAAAGGACAGATTGCAATATTTCACAAGACGAACTTAGTGCGAATATTTTTTTGATCCAAAGATAGCAATAGAAACGAATTCTTAAAGATGAGAGAAATCTCGATGGAAAATTTGCTTTTCTTAGCTAAAGATATCTTTTTTATTTGCTTTTCTTAGCTAAACACATCTTGTTTATTTGCTTTTCTTAGCTAAAGACATCTTGTTTATTTGTTTTAGTTTTTTATAAAATACTAAAATTATTGGAAGTAAAGCAATGCACAGAATAGTCACAAAATGCTTTTTCTCATTTAGAAGTACAAATATTAAAAAATGGGTATTTTTGTGTTATCAGGACTGGATTCAGAAATGAATATATGTGTATATGTGCATGTATATGTTACCGTGAAAGACTGAAATTGGAAATGTCGACTTTCACCGGAGAATATCAACATTCACCAAATACGTCGGTGAAAGACCGAATATTTCACTACATTCTTGTATATTCGGACCCTCACCGGTGTATGTCGACAATCACAGATATGCTCTGGTGAAAGTCGAAAAGAGAGGTCATAAAGTGCCATAATAGTTTAAGTTATTGCAATAAATAAGATTTGAATCACATAATTTAGTAAGTTTTTTATTACTGTTATTTTATTTTCTCATTTTAGAACGTACTGTATAATTAAGTAAGTTTTTAACTTCTATTATTTTCCTTTCTCATTTTGAATGTATTGTGTGTTTTAGGTTCTCATGTTCTTAAGTTCTTATTTCAAATCTCAAGTGCGTTTATTCGCGACTGAATAACGGAGAAGAAAATATAATATTGTTATATGTTGAACATTCACCATTAGAAAATGGTGAATGTCGACATTGACCGGTGTAAGTCAGAAATAAGAGTACTTTGAAAATATTTCGGACATACACCAAGAGACTATGTGAATGTTGACATTCACCAGTGAAAGTCGACATTCTCCAGATTTCGGTGTTTCACCGTAACATATACATATATGCATATATGTGCATGTGCGTACTTGAACATATACATACATGCATTACGTTTCTGAATTCGATCCCGATAACAGAAAAGTACCGAAAAATATGACGGCTAAATCACTGTGAGTAGGGAATTGAAAATATATAAAATCTGACTATATCAGGCAAAGCAGAGCTTTTTGGAAATTTTTCGAAATTTTAATGTTCGGTCAGAAACTTAGCTATAACAGGTCAATTTCATTAGAAAATCTGCGTTCAAAAATCCCACGTTTAATTTTTTTTTTTTTCGCTTCGTATTTCCTGAAGAATATTAGCAAGTTTTGTGTATTTTTAATGAACAGATTCATCTATACACATATATATATTTTAAGAAAATGTTTAGAGCTGAAGGTGGGAAGATCTTTATTATTAATACAGAAACGCACACAAGAATCAGTGTTAGACTTGGATGAAAAACGGCGTGCACAAGCAATGAACTAGCATTTCACGGATTATTTAATCAAAATAACTTCTGTGGCATATTTTGTAGAGACATTAGGTTATTTGGAAGTAAGAGACTTGAAAAATGAGCAACGTCGTCGCCGGGAATGGAACCACGGACCTCTGGAATACGCGCCCAGCGTGCTAACCACTACACTACGGTTAAGACATGCTAAGAAGGCTGGAGAAATACCTTATAACATTAAATGTTTAAATATCACTTTAATGTTTAATATTGATGTTATAGCAGATTTAATAAAATATTGACTAAAATGTGACAAAACAGCAGCATAACATTTAGTAACACAAATTCACGATTCGAAACAGAATATTGACTGATTGCCAGGAGCAAATTGTTAAAAAAAATTATTTCGTGTGTTGCCATAGCAAGGCGAAATTCACCACTGCAGAAACTATTAAAAACCAAAACATAAATAAAATAAAATAAAATTTCTCTGTTTTAAAGGCAATAATTTGAAACCGTGAGTTCTAAATGAATAAAATGTAGGATATTACAGTAACATCGTTGTACATCTATCACTCTAATAGCCGATGCCA